CAATATAACAAAGAGTGAAAAATTTAAGGGGGTCTGAATACTTTCCGTACCCACTGTATATATATGAGACTGGACCACAAAACCTGTCTTAAGTAGCACATCTACTTTCTGCTATTACATTAGTGCTGACATCTTTCATTTCAGGCCTCATAGAAGAGAACGAGGAGAGTGAAGAACTGAGTGAAGAGGAGGAGGAACATCATGACAAACCTGGAGAAAAACCTTTGAGTCGCTCAAAGACTAAAAATAAATTTTTAAAGAAAAGAAGAGGCAAGAAATCTTTCACCTGCACTCAGTCTGGAAATAGTTTGAAAACCAAATGTATTCTTAAGTTTAACATGAGAGTTCACACTGGAGAGAAACCGTACATATGTGATCAGTGCGGGAAGAGCTTCTCACAGAAAGGACACCTTGAATGGCACATGAGGATTCACACTGGAGAGAAGCCATTCAAATGCCATGAATGTGGAAAGAGATTTTTTTGTAAATCCCATCTTGAACGTCACGTGAGAGTTCATACTGGAGAGAAGCCGTTCACATGTGATCAGTGCGGGAAGAGTTTCCCAAATAAACAAAATCTGGAGCTTCACATGAGGATCCACACCGGAGAGAAGCTGTTCATGTGCAATCAGTGTGAAAAGAGATTCTCAAACAAACAATGTCTTGAGTTTCACGTGAGAGTTCATACTGGAGAGAAGCCATTCGCATGTGATCAGTGCGGGAAGAGCTTCACACAGGAAGCACATCTTTGGGGGCACATGAGGATCCACACTGGAGAGAAACCGTACACCTGTGATCAGTGTGGAAAGAGTTTCACGCAATCAGCACATCTTAAAGGACACATGAAAATCCACTCGGGAGAAAAGCCATATGCATGTGAACAGTGCGAAAAATTTTCTCAAACAAACAATGTCTTAATATTCACATGAGGATCCACACCAGAGAGAAGCCGTACGCTTGTCATCATTGCGGCAAAACATTTCTTACTGCATCACACATGAAGACAGTTCATACGAAGGAGAAGCCGCATTCAGGTTCTGTGTGTGGAAAGAGTTTTTCACTGCTGCAAAGTTTAAAAGGACATCAGAAAATACATACTGATGTAAAAGCTTATATGTAAAACACACGAGATGATCCACAGCAGAGAGAAACCATATATGTGTTCACACTGTGATACGAGATTCAGTCAGTATTCAAATCTGAAAACACATGAGAGGATCCACACTGGAGAGAAACTATATATGTGTTCACACTGTGATATGAGATTCAGTCGGTCAACAAGTTGCAAACAACACGAGAGGATCCACAGCAGGGAGAAGCTGCACACGTGTGATCAGTGCGGAAACAGTTTCGCTTTTAAAAGTCACCTGAAGACACACATTAAGATCCATGCAGTGGAGAAACCAGATCACTGCAGTCTGAAATCACGGTAAGAAGTTCATCTTTATGTGCTGAGAAACAAAATCTCTTCTGCGGTAAGAAGTTCATCTTTATGTGCTGAGAAACAAACTCTCTTCTGTGGAAGAGCTGTGATGAGCGACAGGCCGTCTTGTTGGTTGCTTGGTATCTGCTTCAAAAGTTTCACATTATTATGAGGTATTGAATCATAATTAACTCTTTCCCCGCCAGCGTTTTTGAAAAAAAGTTGCCAGCCACCGTCACCATTTTTTTAGCTTTTTCACTAAAATTTCATGGTCCACAGAATATTTTGTTGTATGACTATCTGAACATGCAACACATCAAAATAAAGAACAGTCTCTAGATTTTTTCAAATCTGTTTTATTCTAGCTTCAAGAATTTTTTTTTTTAATCGACACTTGAATATATATTTTTTTTATAAAAAAGCAACATTTTGAGCAAAAATCAGGAGATGTTTTTATCAAATAATACATCTGGATAATATTCAATACAATGATCAAAGCAAAGATGCAGTAGATTGCTTTCATCAGCAGCCCAAACCTTCACAGGCCTTTACCACTTCCTGGATTGACATTTCACTCTGTAACATTAGACATTTCATTTAGCTATATGCCGTTTATTGTTGATGATCGCATCATTTTTCATATGCATCTGCTTGCATAAGAGATCGTTCATTTCTGCGTCTTCCTCGTTTGTGTTTTTGATCGGGACGTTCTAGACTCATTCAGGAGATGTGTAATAGCGCGCCAGAGCATCTAACAAGAACCTGGAAACCAGGACAATTCTGTGTTTGACGTGGAACGAGTTCAGAGAAAGTATCTCATTATTATGGACAATTATCTGGCGATTACAAGAAAGTATCTCATTATGAGATATAAGTCATTATTATGAGAAAATATCTCATTTTGAGAAATAATCTAAAATTATCTTATTATTGAGATGTAAGTCGTTATAATGCGTTGATCACAAACGGGAATCACGGCACCATTGTAACCCCGCTTTTCTGGTTCTTTCTTTTAACCCATCCGGAAAGGACAACACTGAGACGTAGGCTGAGCTCACTCATCACGTTTACTGGAATATATGAAATGACACCAAACAGACATGAAATACAGCTCATCCGGTCTCATAACATTCTCCTCAACGGCTTTCATGCGACTGATTTACCAGTTCAAACAAACAATAAATCAGTTTTTCCATAATTAAGAGCTCAATTTCTTTTTCTATTGTTTTCTGAACATAGAAAATATAACATCATAAGAACATTAGTACATCGTACCTGCAATATATGAAATGACACCAAACAGACATGAAATACAGCTAATCCGGTCTCATAACTGTCAAAAATAAATATACATGTGAAAATAAGCAACGAGAAAATACAGAGACATAAACACAACGAATACCATGTAAAATAAATATACATGTGAAAATAAGCAACGAGAAAATACAGAGACAGAAACACAACGAATACCATGTGCTCCTAATGCACTCAACAGTGCGTTCGGAATAAAACATCAATTATCCGTCAACTCTATATCTCTTATGACTCAAATATGAAATAAAATACTTTTAAAATAAAAATTTTGACCTTAAAGAGAAATAAAATCATCTCTGACAACATTCTATTTCTGTTCAACCGGAGAGAGATTTTACACCTACCATTCTCCTCAATGGCTTTCATGCGACTAAGGAGAAAATGGCCGACTCCACTGATAGATTACCTTAGTCATCTGTAGGTGTCCCCATATCCCTTTCTTTTAGATGCACTTAATACATTCTATTAAATTAATATCTTATCATTATTTTGCAATATGAACAATCATTTTGGCACAATTTATTACAAGTTTCTTTTCCCCGTTACACAGACAGCAATCATGGTTGGCAGGAGAAGGAGAGAACAGAGAGAAGATGAGTGATCCAGAACCTGCAGAATGAAACATCATGAAACTGAAGAACAAACATGTTGGTGTTTTTTCTTCATTCCTCAGTCATCATGCTGAAGAAGCCTGTGTTGTGTAGTAAATAATGTGATTGCTTACAGATTACATGTCAAGCCTGTGTCATCTAGAGTTTCATGACCAAACTAGTGATTTATAAGTCATCTTTATGACAGTAAAATAGATCATAATCGTGCACAGCAGTTGTCGAGCAGTTTTGATGGGATTGAAATGACTCTTGAACTCATCAGTATTCTTGACTTTAGGCTTCACTTTCTTTCTCATTTAAAAACTCACATAATTTAATGTTTCTTTTAGACCTGAGAAAGGAAAACAAAAAAGGAAAACCAGAAGCCAAAAAATTAATGTCACCTGCCCAGATGCACATATAAATCAAGTCTGAAGATTCACATGAGGATCCACACTGGGACGGAGCCCTTCAGCTGTGATCAAAGCAGGAAGAGATTAACAAGAAAACAAACCTCAAGAACCTCAACCTCTGCCTACACGTTCTGAAGAAAGACCATTTTACCAGTGCGGCAAACAGTTTCATTGAGCATCAGTCCTGAAGAAACACCTGAAGATTCAGATAAAGGAGAAGATTCCTTCGTAATATAAGAAAGTCCTTTACTACAGATGCTGAACTGAAAGCAGGAAACTCACACTGGAAAAGTGTTCAAACTGCAACATGAGATTCAATCGGTCAGAAACGCTGAATACACATGAAAAGATACACACTGGAGAGAAACCACATCAGAGTTTGATCAGTTATATTGTCTACAGTCATTGTCAGCATCCCTCGATTTCAGAATCAGAATTTCAGAATGTTTCTAGTAAAGTGCAGATGAAATGTAAGCATTACTGTAACAGGAATAGAGCTTCCATTACTTTTACAAATAATTGCAATCATTTGCAGAAACTAAAGTTATTTTGAAACTATGGGGTACCTGTTACCTGTACCTGAAAGGCGGGGCATAGAGGAGCAACAATAATGTACAGTATGTGG